ACTTCACATCTCCTAAGTACTCCAAATTCCAGACTGTTCATCTTCTTTCATCATCACGTCTGTTGAAATTTTATCTCCCCATGAATACCATCCTGGGCTTCTAACTTATTAATAAGACAAAAGAATTTGTGCCAAAATAATTTATTCTTCTCAGGTAGTATTTTATATTAACTGGAATCTAAATGCCTTCGCTGGAAGGTAAGGTCTAGTTTGGAAATTTAGGGCCCGGAGGAGGTGACTGTCCCACAAGACGGTGTGTATGTCGGGAGGTAGGTGGCAGGCGGTGGAGGTGGTGGCTAGGAGGGGCTACTCAAATCAGCTGCCTCACCCATGGGATCATCCAGTATCCTTTCTCATGAATCACATACGAATGGAATCATTCAATGCTTAGCTTACATATGCCCCAAAGGTGAGTAACACCAGAAGATTTAGTCATTAAAATACATTTTAGGTTTCGTCACAAGAGCACAGGTAGCCAAAACTAAGAAGTTAAATCTGACCTTTCCTTTCAGTAAGTAGAAGGAACTTGAGAAGAATTCTCCTATCACTTACATAGTCTGAGGAATGAACTGTTAAACCAGAGTTCTGATTTGCTCCTTAAGAGCAACTATGACCTTTTGAACATTAACTTACATATACTAATGTATTCTACTGGCACAATGTGGAATTTTCTTATCAGCAATGTAAGTAAGGAGATGGTTTGTCACATACTTCACAGGGAAAGGAGAGCGCAAATACAGAAAGCTAGTGTAGTGAGAGTTACGGTATTGCTCCTACTGTCCCATTGGGGCTTATTTTTTTTATTGTATTCCTATCTTAAAGTCTTCTCGTGCATTTGTGATTAATGCTGGATAATAAAATAACAAGACACAAATTCTATTGTACTTCCCCTCCTGAAGTATCAAAGCAGGAGAAAGCTTATAAAAAGTGCCTCAGTTTCCCCGTTCAAAACATGCCTCAATACTGTCCATTCGTTCACAGATGCTTAGTCCTTGTCTGCCATATCCTTTAGAAAGAACTGCTCTGTCAGTTACAAAACAAAACATTGCATTCACACCTCCTCCTCCAGAAAGTTTCTGCGTATGATTTTATTTTGTAAAAATTCAGTATATTAGATTTACATTCAAAGAGCATGGATTGGTAAGTTTTTCTAACAGTATCTACTGTGCTGAACAGAAATTCACCTGAAATTCTAAACTGAAGAAATAACAGGCTCAAGTCTGTGCCCCTCTGAGCTCCTAGGACATGGAGAGCCTCTGCTGCCACCTTTTGCCTTCTTTGGACCCACTGCGAGGCAGAAGGAGTACTTGGTTCTGTCTTAGGTGTTACATGTTATAATGCTGCTAACTGATGATAGGCAATGACTGTGTTGTTCAACTACTACCTTTATGAGGAGCTGGTAAAACCCGCGAGCAACTTAATGACCGGTGAAATAAAAAGACAATTAGGGACTCGGCACCAGCATCAGCTACAAATTTTGCCAATCGGTGGCGCTCCCTGGCTAATGGCAGGCAACTACAGCTCCCAGAACAACAGGAGGGGGTTCCTTTTGCTAAGCATCATCTACTACTTGTTTCCTTGCATCCAAGTGGACAAAAGCACAGGAGAACACCTGCAAAGGGGCCAGTAAATTCAAATAATGAAAAGTGAGGAGAAAATGGTCTTGAATGTAACATCAGAAGCATGAAGGTAGCTTGAAATCTTCAGCTAAATTGTTGAATTGGGCCTATCTCCTAAACTTTGGGATTGTCACTTACAAAAATGAAAGCAGAGATATAAGAAGGGAGCAATTTTTTTGGTATCAGAATTTTTTAGCATCTTTATCTTAGGTATTATTAGTGTTTTGTGTACCATATTACTTTAAGATTATTATAAATCCCCCTTTACCATGTGTAGTCAATTCTTACCTTTTTTGATTTTTGGAGAGGAAGATGTCTACGTTTTGTTTTTTAAATGAAAGCTACTGGAAAAAAATCCAGTTTACTTAAGAGGAATTTGTAGAAAGCAATCTATTGCCTTTAGGAAGGATATTTATACTATCATTATTCAAGATCTATAACTCTTCAGTTACTTGTGTTAGCTTATCTTCTACTCCCTTGCAAAATTTATAAACAAAATTTATAAATTTATTTTTCTATAGTTATTTTATGTGATCTGTTTTTCTAGAGACCTTTATTTTAGGAGTGTGGAGGGCAATAAAATGGGGGTAAATAACTTACTCTAAAACTCCTGAAGCTGACATGAAAGCAGATAAACCAGTGGTCAGACATTGGCCAAAATGGTACAGGACAACACGGGGCCGGCAGCTGACTCCGTAAGTCAGGCTGGACTGCCTGCTGTCATGGATGCTCTGTCACAGAGCAACAGTATATTTTTTTCCTCTCATGCTCCCTTCTCTTACATAGTCACAAGAACAGTTCAGATTCAGAAAACATGCCTGACATTTACTCAGAAACCAAGGGAAAATGGGGTGGAGGGGCCCTTCAGTACTGATAGCCTAGACGCAGACAGATCAAAAGCTAAATTCAATTTAAGCCACCTCAGGCAGAAAAAGTAATTGAATTAAACTTCCTCTAAATATGATAAGTTTGGGGGATCTTAAAACCAGGCACAAAGAACCAGGTTAGAGTGAGCTGTTACGTATTAAATGAATGCACCGAGCTCTAGCCGGTTCCCCCACCCCTGCCAGGGAGTCTGATGAGCTGCTGATTGCCTCTATCACTTTACTACTGAGGCTGAAAACTGATTAAGCTGCTTATGGGGCTCCAGGGGCTAATGGGCTGGCCCACCAGGAATACTGCTGTCACTGACTTAAGGAAGCTGCGTGGCATATGGGGTTTGATTATTACAAGGGGGGAAAAGTCTGCAAGGCATAGGAAAGCTTTAAAAAGCAGGATTTATCACACCAAATGGATACACTACTTTGACACCCTAAAATGAATATGGAATTTCTCTGATTCTTTCTCTTCATCTGGCATCAAAACTCATTTTTGAAAGGCTTCCTCAAAGAGTATTCACTTTGGACCCCGCCCATTCTGTTTGAAACCACCTTAAAAGAATACGTCCATGCCTTTAAACATACTTCTCAGGTGGGTCCTCAGATACTATGTCAGGTAGAGTCCTAGAAAATAGGTGAGTGTCTAATGGATATTTTAACTGAGTCTTCTCCTTGCATGCCACTGGGCAATAGTAATTAAAAAATAAACCTTTCGGGGCGCCTGGGTGGCTCAGTGGGTTAAAGCCTCTGCCTTCGGCTCAGGTCATGATCCCAGGGTTCTGGGATGGAGCCCCGCATCTGGTTCTCTGCTCAGCAGGGAGCCTGCTTCTCCCCCCACCCCACTGCCTGCCTCTCTGCCTACTTGTGGTCTCTGTCTGTCAAATAAATAAAATAAAATCTTAAAAAAATAAAAAACCTTTCCCCACCCCAGCCAGCAGATCATTGCTGCTTGATTACGTAGTAAAGGGTATGCGGGACTGAAGAAGTGGGAGGAGCTGATGTGTGCAAACCCGTTAAGCCTGATGCACATGAGAAAATTAAAACACTACCGTTCTCTCAGACCATTCCAACTAAATGCCCTAAAACCACTTGTACCATTTAAAATAACTTTCCTCCCTCAGGGTGTACAAAGAAAACGCAAGTCTTAAGTTAAAAAACAACACTTAAAGTAGTTTTAAAGTCTTGAGAAATGACTGAAGGATCTGAACAGTTTTTAAGTTGACCTCATTTCCCTGGGCAAAACAACCAGTGAGGAAAACAAACAACAGAATCGGAGCAGTACGAGATACTCTGGAAGTTGCCACAGTCGTTTTTTTTAATTGACTCTTGAAAGAATAGATACATGGAAAGTACTTTCATTTAGTGTCTAAAAGCTTCTGAGGGAGTGAGTTGTTGATTTAAATGATTAACCAAAGCTTAACATATTCAGAACTTTGGGCCGAACAGACAAGATGTTGGTTTTCTTCTTGGTTGCTAACCTGGTCAGTCATTAAAAGGACAAGCACTAATACAAGTTTTAAAAGATGATTTTGACTCTTATATGCTCTCTTATGTCTTATTAAACTTTAAAGTCCTCCAACTGTTTGACTTAAGCACAAGTCAAAGAGCTTCCTAGAGTCACTGCCTTTTAGATCTTTTTCTCCTTGTACAATTTTCTTGAGATATATATCTCATACCATAAAATTCACTCTTAAGTATACAACTCAGTGGGTTTTGGTATATTCACAGTGCAATGTGCACCCAATGTGCAACCATCACCATGCAATTCCAGGACATTTTCATCAGGCCCAAAGGAAACTCTGGGTCATTAGTAGTCACGCCTCATTCCCTTGGTCTCCCCACATGCCGGCAACCACTCAGCTATTTTCTGTCTCTATGGGTTTGCCTATTTTGGACATTTCATTTAACAGAATCATAAAACATATATTTTTCTGTCTGGCTTCTTTTGGCTTGATGTTTTCAAGGTTCACTCATGTTATAGCCTCTATCGGTACTTTGCTCCTTTTTATGGCCAAATAATATTCCATTGTTGGATATACAAAATTTTGTTTATCTGTTCATCCACTGATGAACATTGGGTTACTTCTACTCTTTGGCTCTTAAAACTGCTCTGAACATCTGTGTACAAGTTTTATGTGGACACAAGTTTACAGTTCTCTTGGGTATACTCTAGGAGAGGAACTAATTACTGGTTCATATGGTAACTCTGTTTAGCTTTTTGAGGGAACACCAAACTGTTTTCCACAGTGGCTAGACCACTTTACATTCCCACCAGTAATGAATGACAGCTCTAGTTTCTCCACATATCCTTGCCAACATCTCTTACTGTCCTATAGTATCTTTTTATAATAAGGTTCTCCCCCCCATTCTGAATAGAAATTGATTATCCGGTCTTATGAAGAAATTACCCCAATGATGGCAGAATTCAGTGCCTAGACTATAATCAACTAAGACACTTTCCCAGTGAGAAAGCAGAAATGAAATGGCCCTTCTGAGCACTCACCTGCTGCAGATCAGCGAGGGAATACAAGTGGATCTGTTGAAGGAGGTATTCTCTGGGGAAAATTCTGAAAACAAGGACAGAAACATAAATGAACTGTGGTGCTGCCACAAAGCAAGTTTTGTCTCTTTCAAGATCCCTTTCCACTAATACTTTTCTTCCCAGCATTCTCTGAGAAACCTGTTAACAACACCCCTTTTCTTTACACAGATACTAAGATGGAAATAAAAGTTTGATCTTTGACTTTTTTTTTTTAATTCCTAAATGAGTTTATTTCAGGACAAAAAGGAGCAATGCTCTGTTTTGTTGTTTTAACTGAATGCAGTTGACATACAATATTCTATTAGTTCCAAGGATTCAACAAAGTGATTGAATAGTTATATACATGATCACCAAGATTATCATCAAAGTTGTAAATTAGCTATATTCTCTATGCTGTACACTGTATCACTGCTTATTTTATAAGTTTGTATCTTTTAATCTCCTTCCCCTCTATTATCCCTTACCCCATGCCACTCCCCTCTGTCAACCACCATATTATTCTCTATCTACTAGTGTTTTATTTTGCTTTCTTAGATTCCACATGTAAGTAAAGTATTTGTCTTCTCTGTCCTATTTCACTTAGTATTATACCCTCTAGATCCATCCATGTTGTTGCAAATGGCAAAGTTTCATTATTTTTTTTATGGCTGGGTAATATTCCATTGTATGTATATGCTACCTCTTCTTTACCCATTCATCTACTGATATTTAGGTTGCTTCCTATCTTGCTTGGTTATTGTAAGTAATGCTGTAATGAATATAAGGATGCATATTCTTTTCAAATTAGTTTTTTTCTGTAGATAAATACCCAGAAGTGGAGTTGCTGGATCATATGTTTTTAATTTTAATTTTAATTTTTTGAGGAACCTACATACTATTTTCCATGGTGATGGCAGCAAATTACATTCCCTTTTCCCCACATCCTCACCAACACTTGTTACTTGTCTTTTTGATACTAACCATTCTGATAGGTGTGAGTGATATCTCATTGTGATTTTGATTTACATTCCCCTGATGATTAGTGATGTCAGCACCTTTTCATGTTTCTGTTGGCCCTCTATGGAGCAATGTCTTCGGATCCTTTGCCTATTTTTTAAATTGGTTGGTTTTTACGATATTGAATTGTGAGTTCTTTATATATTTTGGATATTAATCCCTTTCAGTTATGTCATTTGCAAATATCTTTTCTCATTCAGTAAGTTATCTTTCCATTTTTTTTTTTATAAAGATTTTATTTATTTATTTGACAGAGATCACAGGTAGGCAGAGAGGCAGGCAGAGAGAGAGGAGGAAGCAGGCTCCCTACTGAGCAGAGAGCCCGATGCGGGGCTCGATCCCAGGACCCTGGGATCATGACCTGAGCCAAAGGCAGAGGCTTTAACCCACTGAGCCACCCAGGCGCCCCATATCTTTCCATTTTGTTGAGGGTTTTCTTCACTGTGCGAAAGCTTTTTACTCTGAAATAGTTCCATTTGGTTTTGTTTTTGCTTTTGTTGCCCTTGCCTGAGGAGAGAGATCAAAGAAATACTGCTAAGACCAATGCCTAAGAACCTACTGCCTATGTTTTCTTCAAGGAGTTCCGCGGTTTCAGGTCTTACATTTACATCTTTACCCGATTTTGAATTTGTTTTGTGTTTGATATAAGAAAATGGTCCGGTTTCATTCTTTGGCATGTAGTTGTCCAGTTTTCCCAACATCATTTATTGAAGAAATTGTCTTTTCCTCATTGTATGTTCTTGCCTTCTTTGTTGAACATTAATTGAAGAAAGCATGGATTTGTTTCTGGACTTTTCTATTTTGTTCCATTAATTAATGTCTGTTCTTGTGCCATTGCCATAGTGTTCTGATTACAATAGCTTTATAGTATAGTGGGAGATCAGGGCATGATACCTTCAGCTTTGTTCTTCCTTCCAAGATTGCTTTTGCTCCTCAGGGTCTTTTGCGCTTCCATACAAATTTTAGGATTAGTTCCAGTTTTGTGAAAAATGCCATTAGTATTTTCATAGGGATTCTGCTGAATTTATAGATTGGAGCTAGTAGATTTGGATAGTACAGATATTTTAACAATATTAGTTCTTCCAATCCATGGTACATCTTTCCATTTATTTGTGTCATCTTCAATTTCTGTCATCAGTGTTTTACAGTTTTCAGTGTATAGGTCTTTCATTTCCTCAATTAAATTTATTCCTAGGTATTTTATTCTCCTTGATGCAACTGTAAATGCAATTGTTTTCCTAATTTCTATTTATGATAGTTTTATTAGTGAATAAAAATCCAAGTGATTTCTGTATATTAATTTTGTATCCTGCAACTTTACTGATTCATTTATTCGAATAGTTTTTTAGTGAAGTCATTAGGGTTTTCCATATATAGGGTCATGTTATTTGCGAAGAGTCAGTTTTATTTACTTTTTCCAGTTTGGATGCCTTTTATTTCTTTTTCTTAAATGTTTTCTTGAAGCTAGGACTTCCAATACCATGTTGAATAAAAGTGGTGAGAGTGGGTGTCTTTGTCTTGTGCCTGATCTTAGAGAAAAAGCTTTTAGCTTTTAACCACTGAGTATGATGTTAGTTGTGGGTTTGTCATATATGGCCTTTACTATGTTGAGGTATGTTTCTTCTGTACTCACTCTGCTGTGTTTCCATAAGTATATGTTTAATTTTGTCATCCTTTTTCTGCATCTATTGAGATATTATATAATTTTTACCCTTCTTTCTGTTGGTGTGGTATATCAAGTTGATTGAGTCTGTGGATATTGAGCCATCCTTGCATTCCTGGAATAAATCCCACTTGATTACTGTGTATGATCCTTTCAATGTATTATTGAATTCGGTTTGTTAATATTTGGTTGAGGATATTCATGTGCATGTTCATCAGCAATACTGGTCTGTAATTTTCTCTCTCTCTCTCTCTCTTTTTTTTTTTTTTTTTTTTTTTTGGGAATGTCTTTGATTTTGGTATTAGGCCAATGCTGGCCTCACAGAGTGTATTTGAAAGTGTTCCTTTTCTTCATTTTTTTTTTTGGAATAGTTTGAGAAGGATGGGTCTTAACTCTTCTTTAATGTTTGGTAGAATTCACCTATAAAGCCATCTGGTACTGGACTTTTGTTTGTTGGGAGTTTTTTGATTACAGATTCAATTTCATTATTAATAATTGGTCTGTTCAGATTTTCTATTTCTTCTTGATTCAGAGTTGGAAGACTGGGTGTGTCTAGAAATTTATCCTGACCTTTGATTCGAATATAATACAAGGTGCTATGAGTACCATGTAGTGGCCCAGGGATGAGGACCAGGGCATCAGGTTTCTTGCACCAGCTGGGTTCCTCACAAGCTGTGTCATCTCAGGCAAGTACTTTCATAGGGATTCTGCGGAATCTGTAGATTGGAGCTAGTAGATTTGGATAGTATGGACATTCGAACAATATTTTTCCAGTCCATGGTACGTCTTTCTATTTATTTGTGCAATCTTCAATTTGAATTTATTTTGTATTTGATATAAGGAGCTAGTAGATTCAGCTTCTTCACTGTTTTATAAAGATGAATGAATACAGTGTCTTCAAATATCTTTCCAGTTCTGTGCCTAAATTAACAGATTTTGGAGTTGAGAAAATTGATTGATGTGGCAACCTGTGTATCTTTGTCTAAAGGCTTCTATGGCTTTCATTAATGGAGACAATGGTGCTGAGTATCCCATTAATGAACTAACCTTTTACATATATAGTGATGAATTTTAGGATAGGTACAGATGGGAATAATGGGATGAAATATTTACATTGGGAGTCTCTGACAAAGTCTAATATCTTTAGCTGCTGTCAGTTCACAGCATCTGGATAAATAACACTGAATAGGAAACAACGATGAATTATGGGCAAGCAGATAGGTACCAAAGTGTTGATGGTCAGAACCTTCCCCCACCAACAGACATACATTCCCCAAACAAAACTCATGATGCTTGCTAGCATTTTTTTCTCTTATGTGGTACTATGCAATCTTCCTGTACTCTAAAGGGAAGAAGCAACCAATTTATTCAACTAACATTTATGACTGTCCACTATATACCAAGCACTGTGCCAGGCACTAGGTAGATAATTAGGAATAAGACAGTCCCAGTACTAAGTTCAAGGACCACTAAGTCAACTGAGGAAAAGGTATATAAACTGATAACTGAGAATGATAAGTTATGCACATGATACATACTTTTAGAATGGTTTAGCATGTTGGATCCCAAACCTTGGCTGTCTATTAAAATCACTTGGGGGTGCCTGGGTGGCTCAGTTGGTTAAGTGTCTGCCTTCAGCTCAGGTCATGATCCCAGGGTCCTGGGATCAAGCCCCACATCAGGCTCCCTGTTCAGCAGGGAGTCTGCTTGTCCCTCTCTCTTTGCCCCTGCTAGTGCGCTCTCTCGTGCACTCTCAAATAAATAAATAAAATCTTCTAAAAAATAAAAAAATAAAATCAGGTTTTAGAAGATAACAGGGTATAAGCATGGGTAGAACCCAGAAATTAGTTGTTAAAACAAAACTTTGCTGGTGATTAGTGCAGCCAAGTTTGAGAACCACTGACCTAATGTCTAGCTCATTGGGCAATTCAGTGTTTCAGTTCAGTATGCATTATTGGACAAACCCTAGAGACTAGATCATTCATTCCTCCATTCATCTTTCTATCCATCCAATACAGATTAAGCACACCTATGTGCCAGCCCCTGTGCTAAGCCACGGAAGAAAGGGCATTGAACCTATTAGATAAAGTCCTTCCCCCATGGATGCCTGGGGTAGGCATATGCTAGTTTGGAGTTTTCCTGGGAAGTATGACAGGCTCTGGAGAATTCTGCTGAAAAGCCCTGTTTCATCCACAGAAATGAGAACAGACCGAGTGGCAAGGCCCTTATACTCTGGGAAATATGGTACAGTACCAGGCTGGGCTCCCTTCAACTCTGTTGCTTCAGGGCCACACCTGTGGCAGGAAGTGGGCGCACATTCCAAGCCCAGCTAGGCAGGTTGTAGGGCAAGTGTCTACTCCTCCAAG